GGGGGGGGGAGAAAAATATCTTTTTTTTTGGGGGGGGGGGGGGGTTTTAAGGCCCCATTAAGAGGGGGGGCGAAAAAATGGGGGCCCCCCCCCCTTTCAAAAAACAAAGAAAAAAGCCCCGTTTTTGGGACACCCCCGGAAAAGGGGGGGGGGGGCGGGGAATATCCCCCCCCCTTTTTTTTATTTTTACCTTTTTGGGGGGGGGGGGGGAAAGGGGAAAAAACCCCAGAAAAAAATTTTCCCCCCCCCCCCCCCCCCCCCCCCCGCTTGGTTATGTGAGAGCCTGGTCCGGTGAGAACCCGGCGTGCTCCGTCCCGGCTTTGTAGGGATGCGAGGCCAATGGTTTATCGACTATTTACGGCATGCACGACTATGAGTATCCCCCGCCCCCCTGTCGCGCGCACATAAAACAGGAACGTGGACGACTTAGCCTCGGTGTGGTGCGCGTGGGCGGAGATGGAGCTGAACCACGAGGAGTTCGACAAGGCCCTGGAGGCCGTGCAGCGGGCGGTGGCGGAGCCGGCGGCGGCGGTGCAGCGGCGGCGGCTGCAGGCGTCGCAGTCCAGGGACGAGAAGCGGAGAGCCATGGCAGAGGTTAGTTGGTCCGAACAGTGGAAGGTCCAGGGCGACGTTCTTGATGCCGATGATGTGTTTTTTGGAGACTATCTGGTTGCACTATTCCGGTGTTTTGTTTTGTTTTTAGTGGGAGAATATATACTTAAACAGGGTAGCGTCGTCGATACCGGTGTTCTGTTTTTTTTAGCGAGACCCATTGTTGTATGGTTTTCGGGGTGGCGTAGTTGATACGGTTCAATCGTCTCGCGAAGGTTTCCTGTAGTGTCGGCAGGGGCAACCGCGGCAGGGGGTCCTGAAGGCTGTACAGAGGAAGCGCTGACGATCCGCCCTCCACGAGCTTTTTCGTCCGGTAGTAGCGTCCGTTCGTCTCGCGGAAAGGGCTATCATAGCAAGTCCCATGGCTGCCCATTTTCCTGTTTGTGCCTCCTTGATGACTCCTGTGCTTTCGGTTTTTTGTCTAGAATAGTTGTTGTCTGGTTACAGGATGATGCCCGTGTTCGTGGTGTTTTTTTGTCCGAAATGGTGAGTTTTTTTTTTCACTTTTTCACTTTGGTGGAACGGCGTTTTTTTTTTTTTCACTTTGGTGCAGAGACGTTTTTTGTTTTTACAGCCCTTGACGCCCGCGCTATGTGGCATGCATCTCTCCCCCTTCCACGCCTCGGCGCGTTTTTTGTTTGCGAACGTGAAACCGACTAAACAAAAATCACCCCGACCACAGGTACCTGTTCAGGAGCGCGTGTTCCGCAGCACTCGCGTGTGGAATCTGTACCTGGACCTGGAGGAGTCCCTGGGCACCGTGCAGACCGCAAAGGCCGCGTACGAGCGGGCATTGGAGGTGTGTTGGGTGTGTGTTTGTGTTTTGTTGGTTGGCATCGACCGCGCTTACCGGCTGACCGATGAAAGACGCCAGTCTTGTAGCGACTTAACAAACACGAACAATTTCAAATCAAAGAGAGGTGTGTGTGTGTGTGTGTTTTCTTGGATTTCATCGACCGCGCTAACCGGGTGACCAATGAATAGACGCCAGTCTTGTAGCGGCTTGAAAAACACGAACAGTTTATAACCAAAGAGGTGTGCATGCGTGTGTTTTCGACCGCCGCTAACCGGCTGACCAATGAAAAGACGCTAGTCTCGTAGCGGCTTAAAAAACAGGGAACGATTTCGAAGCCAAGAGGTGTGTGCATAGCGTATAGGCCCCTCACGACTTGGCACGGTCTGATGATGTCTGATGATGGGAGGATTGGCAGCGACGGGGGGCTCGCGGTGTGAGACAAGATTAGATGAGAAGACTGGTAGGACGTTCGTGGTGGTGGTGGTGGTTGAGGCTACTTTTGGTTGTCTGTGAGTTTTCTATTAGCGACGACGCCTAACTCGGAGCGTGTCACGGCGGCGGCACATGCTCGTTATTGTTATTTTTTCGTTGAAACCCATTTGCCCGGTACCTTCTGACACCCCCGCGCACCGGTTCAAACTGACGGGTTTTTTTTTAAACGCGAAATATGGGCAGGCAGAAACTGCTGGTTTTGGCAAGTAGAAGTAGGGACAGCCCCCCCCCCCTTTTTTGCCGTTGACGTGCCCTTCGTTCGCTACTGCTGTCCGATGGTAGTGAGGTTTGGCGCCTCTTGGGTATTACAGCTAACGACATCAACTCGCAACAAAAAATCACTGCTTGTCCAAGGACAAGCGCCAGAAACTTATTCCATTGCAGCTAAATAGTGGCGCGAGCTCGTAACAATGATTCGCACAACCCAAGGACAGCACCGGGTGTAAACGAGAACTTGGTTGCATTGACTTGGCATTTGATGTTGTCCCTTTTTTTGTTGTTGTTGTTGTCCCGTCCCGTCCCGTGATGGCGAACGCAACGAACGCAGCTCAAGGTGGCGTCGGCTCAAATGGTGCTCAACTTCGCTTCTTTCCTGGAAGAGAACAAGTACTTCGAGGACGCGTTCAGAGTATACGAGAAGGTAATGATATTTGCTTTGCTTGACTTGTGGGGACGGGTGGGTTGGGGGGGGGGTACTCTCGTGTTTTGCATGCCGTACAGCAGTAGTCGTTAGACCATTGACCTCGCATCCCTACAAAGCCGGGACGGAGCACGCCGGGTTTTCGCCGGACCAGGCTAGCACATTACCAAGCGCGAATCGCTATGAGGGGGGGGGGGCGTACTCGTGTTCTTGCATGCCTTGGCGGTTAATTTAGACAGCAGTTGACCACGCGTCCTCTCGAGAGGACGGAGCGTTGTTCCCACACTCATGTTTTGCAGGCGGGGGGTATTCAACTCCTTTGTTGGTCTCCTGTCTTGGCCCGCGTGACAGTCGACAAAAGCAGCTGTCCTCCGGCTTGTGTTGGGTCGGTTGCCTCTGGTCATGTGACGCCGATCACGGATAATGTCTAGGACAAAATATGTGTGAGAATGTATTGACGTGACATGGAAGAATGACTGTGCTACGCCCTCTTCGAGATTTTAGCCGTTCGTTTTGCGGAGGGGACTGCTCTGGATTTTGCGAAAGTCGTTGTTTTTCCGCTGGTTAAGGGGGGCGTGCTGCCTGTCAATAATTTGCTCGCTTCGTTGGAATCGAAAGTTGACGAGGTGTTCAAGCTGATAACTGAAAAACATTTTTTAGGATTTTTTCGAAAATATCCGATCTCGCCGTGAGAAAACGCGGAGCACGGCGTGTAGTCTAGAGAACGATAACTTTTGGCCATTAGGTTTGTTTTAGGGGCTCCTTTCACTCTCTTGTTTGTTTGAGGTATCGGAACACCCTATGGCAAAGGTGGTGTAAGTTCTTCTTTCTGGCCACGTGAGACGTGGAGGGTCAGTCTTCGGCTGCTCTCAATTTTGATCGATCGCTGTTCGCGCAAGTTTCGAGGCATTTTGTCCACGCATATCGAAACAAGCCGTGCTTATTAGCGTGTGTGTCCCTTACTCCTGGCGAACGCTTTTTCAACGACATCTCCCCCAACATCTACAATGACAAACCGCGCACGTGTACGTATCGAAACAAGCCCTGCTTGTTGGTGTGTGTCCCTTGCGCCTGGCGATCAACTTTGCAACGACTTCCTTCTCGAACACCGTAAATTACAACCCTGTACGTGCCGGACGCCAACAATATATACAGGGCGTGAGCCATGTTCTCCTTCCCCAACGTCAAGGCTACTATAACCGTGAACGTGTCGGATGCCAACAATATATACAGGGCGTGAGTATGTTCTCCTTCCCCAACGTGAAGCCAATCTGGATCCGTTACCTGGAACGGTTCGTGGAGCGGTACGGAGGGTCCAAGCTGGAGAGGGCGCGGGACTTGTTCGAGCAGGTGTGCGGCGTGGTCGGTTACGTTCTGTATGTGCGGCGTGATCGGTTACGTTCTGTATGTGTGTGGTGAGGTGTTCCAGTGTATACTCGAAAGCTCAAGAACCCTGTATTAGTAGATTGTGTGCGTGGTGCAGTATGTGCTCGAAAGCACAAGACCGTTTAAAAGATTGTGTGTATGGTGCGGCAACAGTACCAACTACATCCTCCACAGCACAAAGATCTTCCAAGTGGGTTGTGCTTGTGTTGCGGTATACCAGTACTCTGAAGCACAAGAACATGTAGTAGATTGTGTGTATGGTGCGGTATGCGAGTAAATAGTAGTCCAAAAGCACAAGAACCTATTATAATAGGTGGATTGTGTGTGTGTGTTGTGCTTGCCTTCTTTCGGGCGTTGTTTCTTTTGCTTGTTTCGTCGCAGGCATTGACGTCCAAACGTTAGGGTTATACATGAGAGAGAGTACCACTTGGTTTATTTTGCTGCCTTCTTTCCTTGCCTAATTTGCTGCTTTTTTTTTTTCTTTTTCTTTTGTTGGTCGTAGGCAGTGGAGAAGGTCCCCGAGAAGGACGCCGGGGACCTGTACATCCGGTACGCCAAGCTCGAGGAGACCCACGGCCTCATGCGCCACGCGGCCTCGGTCTTGGACCGCGCGTGTGCCGCCGTGGAGGAGTCGGAGAGGCTAGATATGTTCCGCCTCTACGTTGCCAAGGTGCGAAAAAGGCGTGTAAAGGGTTCTGAATATTGTGTGATGTTGTTCGATGTTAGTACCAGGTACCATGTCTTATTCCTCTCGTCTGCCCAGGAGCATTTGTATCTTGTCTGTCCGGGAGGGTTCTGAAGTCGTTGGCGTTGAACGGCCGCGTTTTGCTTGGGGCTGTCGAATACGACGCGGTTGTGCTGTTGGGTGTACGATTTTGATCACACCAGCACGGCAGTGGCACCAGCAGGGCAACAACACAGCGCGCATACACCCGATTTCCTCGAAATGGAAGGGCTTCTCAGGTGATGATAGGTTAAGAGAAAATAAGAGATCAACGCGGAGATTTAGTGAGACGTGCGGCTTCCTTCTTCAGTTGTCGTTGTTTTGGGGGATCCAAGCAGGGCTTCGGCAAAGGGCGTTGTTCCCAAGACAAGCGATTTCCACGAAAGGGGTTGACTAATTTTTCCCTTCACCCGCTCTGTGTTCCTCCCTCTGTGAATCTGTGTGTGTGTGACTCTCTGTCTCTTGTCTGTGTGTGTGTGTCTCCCCCCTTCTCTTGGCCCCGTTTCGTGTGCCACACCCTTATCCTTTGTCCGTGTCCTCATCCCCAGGTGGAGTCCTGGTACGGCGTGACCCAAACCCGGCAAGTCTACGAGAAGGCCATCAAGGATCTGAACGAGGAAGGGGCTAGGGAGGTGAGAGACAGGCAGACAGGACACACAGGGCACAGACAGACAGAAACACAGACCGACATACAGACAGAGGGCACCTAATGAAACGGGAAGGCAGGTAGGTAGAGGACACAGACAGACAGACAGACAGACAGACAGACAGACGGACACAGAACAAGGACAGACAGAAACACAGACAGGAACACACCGGCAGGTAGGTAGAGGACACAGACAGACAGACACATGTAGAGACGACCGGTGGGTGGGTAGGTGGATATAGTCGAGGAGAGACCGAGAGAGGGAAAATCGAAACGCGAATGCGCACTTGGTGCAACCGTGGACATTCCGTATGCATGTGCTGCGTACCTGCTTCCCCGCTCGTCCGCGAGTCTCCCTTTTTCTCTCTCTTCCTGTTTTTTGTGGTTCGGTGCTCGTGGTTATTGTGCCTGCCGCTGTAACCTATATAGAGTGATCATGACCACGCGTCCCAAGGCTGCTCTAGTTCTCTCCCTGTCGTCTGGTCTTACTCGTCCAAACCTTGTCTGAACTGCTTTTCTCTGTTTCTTTTTTGCTTGTGCTCACGATAATGATCATTTTCTCGTCCAGCGGTTGCCCTTCGACAGCTCGCCCCCCACGTCGTGCCTTGCTTTCTTTTCACCACGCACTGCCGCTTGTCTGCTTCTTCTGTTCTCTTCTCGCTCGGCCGGTCTTGGTTGACCCGGAACGTGTGCAGATGTGCTTGTCGTTCGCGGCGGTGGAGCAGAAGCTGGGAGAAATCGATAGGGCCAGGGCCGTCTGGACGTACGGCAGCCAGTTCGCGGATCCGAGGAGGGCCGAGCCCTACTGGCAGGTAAAGCAAGCACGCAAGCACTACTATTTTGTTCTTGTTTTACTGGCAGGTAAAGCGTAAAGTGAGCACTGCTCTTTTGTTCTTGCAACTCCGCTTGCTTTTTTTGGCGAGCGAGTTGGTTGGGTATTGTTGTGTGTTGCTCCTCTCGGTGACCGTGTGTGTGTGCGTTTTTTTTTCTTTTTGCAGCAGTAGCAGTAGTAGTAGTAGTAGTAGTATGGACCGTGCTAACCGGCTGACCTATGAAAATACGTCAGCCTCAGTGCGGCTGAAAGCGCATAGCGTGTTTGTGTAATTTTTTTTTGTCTTTTCGTCGTTCTGGTGCTGTTGGAAATGGTCTCTGGCAGTGGGATGTTAATTTTGCAAGTCATCCTTGCGGGGGTATTGCCGCCATCTGTGTGGGAGTGTTAGCGTCATCCTTGTGGGAGTGCTGTTGCCCTCCTTGGCGGCGTATATTTATATTTCGGTGGCATTGCGGCCTTTGTTGGAGGGTACCATACAGCAGTAGTTGCGTGTTACGTGTGTCGAAATGGAGTGGACGTTTTTTGTTGTCCCTCGTTCCGGAGGTAGGTGTCTATGTAGCGACAAGCATTTTATTTTTTGCCTGCTTTTCTTTTTTGTTGGGGGGCCGTGTCTGTTCAACACGAGTTTCCTCTTTCTGCCTCTTTTAGTCAGGCCGGCAAGCTGTGGCCGAGTGTACGAAATATGTACATACAGCTAGATACCTCACTTTTGCAAAAACGTAGTGCGCCCACGCGCGTTTTGTTGTCCAATTCTGACGCTTGGCAGCGTTAACAATGTGTTTGTTCCAATCGATTCCGTACAAAGAAAGTACTGTAGTTGGTTCGACCTCGAATCAAGAATCGATCTTCTATTGTTCCGCACCTCATTTTTCACCGCCCCATGTGTTGCCTTTTTTTTTTTTTTTCACTTAGGCGTGGCACGAGTTCGAGGTGGCCCACGGCAACGAGGAGACCTTCCGGGAGATGCTGAGAACGAAACTCTCGGTGCAAATGTCGTTCAGTCAGGTGAGACGAGAAGACCAACCCAAACCTTAACCTTAGCGTTAACTAACTTTCCCCCGTCACCTTGTTCGTGCCAGCAGCACCGGTCGCTCCCTGTTGGGTCACCCCGTGGACAAGCAGAAGGAAAGAGCCTCAAGTGCGAGAAGAGCTATGCTTGAGATTGTTTCTTCAAGAAGGAAGAAGAGATTCTTTCTTCAACAAGAAGAAACATGAGGCCGGCGTCTCCACCTTCTCTATTGGATAGGTTTAAGAGATTGGCCACTACATACAGGGCAAAAGAACAGTCGTGTGCAAGAAGACACGAGATACTCTTTCTTAGCCAGTGCCAGTGCCGACACCTGTATAGGGTAGGTGTACGAGGTTGACCGTTACAGGCCGTCGGGGCGACCGTATACATGGGGGAAAAACGTCATATCCCGCGCCGGGGGGAATTGCGTAGTATTTTTTCCTCTTTTTGATCGCTGTGCTGGTGGTGTCCAAGACGAGAAAGGAATACATGTACAACGCACACACGTTGGCCACCCCTGCGTCTTCGAAGAGCTCTCGCAACAAGACGCGTGCTCACATTGTGTTCGCAATCTTTTATTTTATTTAAATGATCCTTCGCTAGGGAAAACAAGTTTTAATTCTTGGTAGTTCCAGGCATCGGCAAGCACCATGCGCTGTTGTGTGGGAAAGATGGGCTGAAAAGTGTGTCTCCCGCAACACAACTACATGCCTTTTTCGTAAGCTGTATACGTAATGGAAGACACAGATTTCCTCTTCAAATTTGTTTGCCTGTGGTCCCCAGTACAACCGCCCCCCCTCCACTCTGTGGGTGGCACCCCTCAACCTGCCCCGCTTTCATCCCCCCCCTCCCCAGTGACTAGTCCTCTCGAGGACGCGTGGTCAATGGTCTAACCGCTAAGGCATGCAAAGCATAAGAGTACGCCCCCCCCCCTCCCCAGTGACTAGCTTCTGGTCCATACCCTGAGTCGGCAAAAACTCGGCGTGCTCCGTCCCGCGTTGTAGGGAGTACGAGGTTAATGGTCTAACGGCATCCGTTTACATGAATAACCCCCCCCCCCCCTTCCTCCCTCCCCCCCTCTGCGCACGAACACCTCTGCAGGTGAACTACATGGCGGCCGAGATGATGTCGGCGGATCTCCCAGTGACGTCGGACGCGGACGCGATGGCCAAGCAGAGGGCGAAGGAGGCCGAGCTGGCCGGGGGGGGCACCATGCTCGCCTCCGGGAGCACCAAGCGGAAAGCGGACCAGGTACTTGCATGCATGCGTGTGGGCCTCTCTCTCTCTCTCCCAGTCTCTGTGTTTGTGTTTGTCTCTCTGTCTCTGTCTCTCTCGTCGTGCCGTACCAAGCACCAGTGGCGGTGCGCTAAGCACCGTCAGCTGCTACTGCTGCCGCTGCTGCTGTTTGAGATGTTTGAGCTGGTACGGCTGGCATTAACTGCGTTTTGTCTCTGGGAAGAGATGCGTCTTAAACGTGGGACAGCAGTAGCCATGGTTGGAATTCCATTGAGACAAGTCTTTCTGTGTCCTCATTAGCGTCGTAAACGTGCGGCTACGTATAATCTTTGTTGTTGGCGGCCCTTGTGCGTGTGCTTGGCTTGATAAAAGGCATGTACAAGTGTTTCCATAAGGTCAGCATGTTGCTGCTTGATATATGGTACACATGCCGACAACGACGATGTCTCGATGCCTGGTTGGAAGGTGTATCGTTGCATACACAACTTTCGACCAGGCGTAGCGACACGTCGATGCCTGGTGAAGGAAATGCATAGGCATGGTGATGGCGACACCTGAGCACGACGACAATGGAACGGGAGAACATTAAAAAACTAAGTTACTTTTAGCTTTTTGGACGTTGTTTGCATACAAAAAACAAAAACGTTGCCACGTATCAATCGTTTCGCCTGCCGGTGCGCCGGGTGTGCATGCTGCCATCAGTCCTTCGCCCCACCGCTGCATAAAAACACTTGCAACGTTGCCATAATACCTGGATCTCAAGACTAATAATTGATCACTTCGTCGTGAACCTTATGAAACCGACGACACACCAGGGGGGGTCGGGTCAGACCAACATGGAAGCCCTGGAGAGGCAGGCGGACAAGATTCGCGCTGCCAAGGCACAGGGTGCGGCGGGAGCGGCGGGCAGCGCGGTGGAGGCGAACCCCGAAGAGATCGACCTCGATATGGACATGGACGATGCGGCGGTGAGTGTGTCTGCAGGCTGCTGGACGAGAGGAGGGTACGGTCATGGAGAGAGCAGGGGGGGGGGGGGTTACTCTCATGTTTTGTATGCCTTAGCGGTTAGCCCATTGACCGCGCGTCCTCGAGAGGACGGAGGAGTGTATTCATGGCCACGCAGTTGTTAGAACGTTGACCACGCATGCGCGAGAGCACGGGGGGGTGTACGCATGTCCACGCATGCCGTAGTCTTGAGGCCATTCACCTCGCATCCTTTCAAATGCAGTCGTGGCTCCGATATACAGGGGGGTACCTTAAAAGTGGGGGCTCCGATGTAAGAGGGTCGAAATCGGCTGTCACGGACTCGACCCTCTATATAGTATAGTTGAGTACTCTCTTATTCCGGTATAAGAGGGGGCTCCGATGTATGAGAGTCGAGGGCCTTTGTCACAACACCCTCCCTCTTGTAGCGGAGCCACGGCTGTGCCGGGACGGGGGGCGGGGCGTAATCATGGTTTGCATGCCTTAGCTTTTGGACCAAATTGCCACGCGTCCTTGAGAGAGAGGGCGGGGGGTGTACTCAGCACTTAACGCCACGCGGCACATGCACGTGCTGGAGTTCCGTCGATTAACCGCCACGATATTTGCGCGAAGTCAATGCCCTAGCAAACATAAACATACTCCTGTCCAACGTGGAACAAAAAGCTAACACCGCCGTATGTACGCATTAAATGTCCGCGTCCACGCAGGAGGAACCGGCGGCCCCGGGCGGCGAGGGTGGGAGCAACCGAGAAGAAGACGCGAGCCAAGGGGGCGCCGCAGAGGAGAAGGAGGGGGGAGGGGGGGAGGACGCTGACGGCGGCGACGACAACGGAGACATCCGGATCACCCAGAAGGAGGTCCCGAGCGCCGTGTTTGGCAGCGCAAAGGAGGCGTTGGCGAAAGAAAAGGCGGCGGCGGCGGCGGCGGGCAAAGGGAAGGGGGGTGGGATGGGCGCGCTGCAGCGGCTGAAGGTGGCGGGCGGCGGCGGCGGCCTGGGGAGCAAGTAGCACCTCTCTCTCTTGCGCTTTCATAGAGGAGCCCGCGAGTGTAGTGGGTGCTATTTTTCTTTCTTCTCACGACGACAGTATAATGGTATAATGGTAAATAGGTTTACTCCAGTTGTGTGGCACGGAACTATCCGGGGGGCCCGAGTCGGGATGGCGGGGAGAGGGTGGCGGTGGAGTGGAGGTATGTCAACTGCGTGGGGGAAATAAATAGGAGCGATGGTGGCAGCCGTAACTAACAGCAGTGCGCGTGAGGTCAGTTTGTGTCGGCTCTTGGTTTGTGTGTTCTCGACAGCGGCAACGGACGAAAGATTCTCGAGACGAAAGGTCGTTCGGTGCGCTTTAGATCGAAAAACCCGCCGTGAGCGCGATCTACCCACGGCGTCTTGGTAACTGTTATTTGGGAAGATTGATTGACTGCGATCCGATCCAAAATGATCATTTTTGCTAGAACCGGTCGCTATATGTCGGCAGTACATGGAACCGCCTGCGTTTTGTCTCCGAGGCGGATGTTATAACCCGTAACATGCGGGGTACATGTCCATCGCATGTGGCGTCGTCCTTGCGGTGTTGGGAAAGGCGGGATGGGATTGCGGCCACTAAGACGCACGCAGCCGGTCACCCAGCCGACGAAGGAAACATGAGATTGTTTGTTTTCTCCTCGGACTATGTTTTCTTGTTGCGCTGGATATGCTCGGGACTTTTTCATCACTGCGGCTGTTGTCTGCTGGGTGGGAGGCTGCTGTATGGTCTTCGTCGGTGAACATACCAGGCCCTGGAAGGCTTCTAATACCAGAGTGTTGTTGGTGATGGTGGTCGTCGTCGCGGGTAGTTATGATGGAAAACGTTGTTGAGCATCAGCGGGCGAAGCCAGGGAAGATCCGGCGGGACATGCGTAACAATACAACCTTACCACATCCCGTATGGCGATATCAAGCGGCGTCGTCAACGCACCAAGCAAGCGCAACAGACTAAAAGAACACCTTAGAGAAGACGCCAACTCGGGATGTGGACAATCCAGGAAAAAAAATTAGCGGTCGCCCCCCAACACCCCCCCTCAGGCATGGTTCCTGGTAACCCCCCCCCCTGCCCATCACAGCGACGTCTTTAGCCACGTGTGTCTCCTGGCGAGTTTCCCCAAGACTGCCAAGTATTGCCGCTGGCTGTGGTCCTTTTCCTCGCGTAAACGCTG